TTACGCTTGATATTAACTTGCTGCGTAAATTCGCGTGTATCTCGGTATCGTTTAATTCGCGAATATTTAGTTCCACTTGTTACCGCGCAGCGAGAAAGAACGGGTTACGGCGCTTACGTAAATTATACTTACGATCAGGCAATCGCGTGATTTTTATCGATTCCGCAGCCGGCGAACAAGTGCGGTTGCATTGGTTTCTCGGTGAAAGTGCATACGCGTTAGGTAGCCGTGACGTCGCGACGAAGAGGAGATTTTTCCATCGCGCGAGAGCGCGCACACAACATATGAATGAACGCGCTCACGCGCGACATATACCGTTGCCTGCTTTTAAAGATCGCGGTAGTCTCATTTATTATTTCGTGCAGGCAATTACGCGAGAGAGTTGGCGCGAGGCACCTCCGAGAAAAGCCGTTATCATTCGCGAGAAGTGGAGACTTTAGCGCGACGTCCAAGCGGTTTTGGCATTAACGATTACCCTTTTTTGAAGGCGAGAAAGATATAGAAAGAAAGAAAAAAGAGAGAGAGAGAGAGAGAGAGAGAACGATAGAAAAAGAGAGAGAGAAAGGGAGAAGAGAGAGAAAAGTATAAAAATAAGTGAGTAAAGGTCGATTAAATGCGATACATTCAATAACGTATCGGTTTAATGCCGTAATTTTCCACGCACGTTATACCGAAGTGACGACGTTCGAGTGTCCGTTTACTTCTACGGTGACGATATTTCGTTTTATTTGAACACTGACCAACTACAATCGATTAATTTCGAAATAGTCAACTGTGATTGGTCAACTTGCTTGCGGCTTATAACTAATAACTTATTGTAGAAAGCCTATTATGGTTTAAGTTTTCATTGTAGAAACCGTTTAAGAGCCTCCGCACAAGAACATCGTAACGTCAACTTAAGAGTAAACTTATGTCAACAAAAAAATCCGTTATGAAAGTTACGGATTTCTTCGTGCGTTGACATAAGTTTGTTCTTAAGTTAACGCAACGCGTTGCGGATATTCTTGCGCGCAGGCCTTAAGGCCGCGTTCTTACCGGACAGTTCAACGAGAGGTGCATTGTTTTTTTTTCCCACATCTTTCTCCGGCCACCTCCATCGTTCTGAGCACGTGCTGCCGCGTCGCACGAGATCATAATTACGATCGTAATACGCGCGCAACGCCATTACGCCAAATGATCATTAGCATGCACGGTGGAATAGGTTTACCTTGAAATCTCGCGACGCAATTCACCATCACGGAGCGAGAGACGCTTAACACGCGCGACATTCACGGCGCGTCGTGTTGTCTGTTGTGCGCAGCAACGCATTGATTGTGTCTATACAAGGCGTCGCGAATCCATCGCTCCGGCTATTCTGCAGGAAATGGGCGAAGATAAGCTCGCGTTCGTTCAAGAATGGCCTAATTCGGAGCTGTGTGCGAGACGAAATCTTCACGTTTTTTCTCCAATATCTCCAATCGATTCATCAGTACACCTATTTAATCTTTCAAATGACTGAGCTAACTGTTGTAGGGGACCACGAGTGGTTGACATTATAATTTTATTATATTTCCTTAATTTATACATGAAACCTAACTAACTTGTATTTAAGGAATTAAATATGCAGTCAGTATAAAACTAGCCAGCTAGCAAACGTATGCAGTGTATTTCTTTCGCCGCAACTTTTTGATCATTCAAATTTTGTTTGAGCTTTGGAGCAATATGTGAAAATTCGACGGCCAACGTGTCAACTCGTTCTCACTCGAAAATCCAGCAAAATCCGGCTCGAAATTCCAGAAATTCCGAGCTGCCCAGGTCTGAAACTTCCCCGGCATGGCAGTTTCACATTTGCATCACGTATTCGTTGTTATTATTCCGCGTGATTCTTAAAGGCTCTCGTGATGTCTCTCTTACGGCGGACTTATGTAACGCTAACGAATGCATCGACGAGACGAAGGCGTCGAATAAATGACATTTCCGCCGTGCCTCTCGTTGTTCAAGCCTCAGTTGAGCTTCCCGACACTCTGCGAGCATCAGCTTGACAGTCAACGTGCTAATTCTTTCGGCCTCGTAATTCGCAAATGTCAGGGGAACGTTCGCATCCCAATTGATGATGATCCGATCGACGTGAGAGAGCAGACTTTTCGCGCTACCGCGAAGCCAAGTGAAACGAAGGGAAAAAGTCCGAGCCTGATTCGGCGCGCGGCGCGTGTCGACCCGCTGACCTGGAACCCAGCAGCATCTCTCGCTATCGGGTGATCCAATTTTCCGCGTGTCGTTGACTCCTTCCTATATCAGGCCGCGCGCACTGGATGGTTGCTTCTCGCCCTGGATGGTCGTCATCGATTTCCAGGAGTGGGAGCCTCGCGGGACGCCGTGAGAGAACTAACGTCCTCACCTCCTACGTTGGATTTTCCCAACTTCCCCTTGTCATCCAAGGTCTCAAAGAAAGCGCTCTCTCCCGCCCGTTCGCGGGACGGGCTGAAGCCTGCCCCGAGCAAGTATTTCCTCGAGGTTTTCCTAGATAGAAAAATTGCATATTTACTTACCATTTTTATTGTCTATTTTCTGGTCAGTATTTTCCTGCTCAGTTTCTAAATAGTTACTGTCAATAAATCTCAGTTAATAAAAACTGATCAGTTTCCGACTAGTGACCCGTTTTTCTGGAAATTTTTCTATTTGAGTAACTGCTACTGCTGCAGTTATTCAGATGGTCATACAATTCGGACCATTTTGTAAGAGTGGGAGAGAAAAGTATATCGGAAGTCGGAGTTTGCTGGGCCGGGACTCGAATCCGGGTCTTTCGCTTACCGGGCGACTGCTCTAAACCACTGAAGTATCCAGGCTCCCGTTCCGACATTCTTCCTCGTCTTCTTATATGATTGTTTGTTTATCAATATGGCGCCCACGTTTCTCAGTTCACTTTATATCTTACAACTCGAATTCGTACGGTCGATTGAAAGTGGAGCGAAGATGGAGCGAGCAAGCAAACAGAAACTGTTTATCTTACGCCGTTTCCATGTGAATTTTCCTTGTCATTCGGAGCGTTTGGACGTCGCGAATCGATCGAATGGCTGTTCATTCATTGATTTCGGCCGGACTCTCCGGAATTGAGAAGCTGGGACGTTTTCGTCCGGTGCCGCCGTTTGTGCGGCCAGTCGCGTGCTTCATGCGAATTTTTCGCTGGAGCCCTATTGAGGATCAGCGAGACGGGGGAGACTGGCAGCGACTAAGCAGCAACATCTGCGACAACGACGGTGGTCTATAGCTTTGCAGTCGATATCGTCGTATCAAGGTAACGCGAGACGACATGAGATGAACGCAGAGTCCCTCTCGTGTAGTAACGAGAACCGTGATCTGGATATTCGATACTGGGTCGCTCGATCAAGGTTTCCGCGTGGTTCTACCAGCCTTCGCCGATCTCTATTCGACCCGGCCGTAGAAGCTGCGCAACTGGAGCAGCGGGGTCGACGGGAATCGCCGTCGACGATCTCCCCCGGTGCTCTTTCGCGCGTCAAGCACGAGATTGCGACGAAGAGATACGTTTTCGTCGCGAGACGTCGCGAGACGTCTCCTAATTGCGCGATACCTTCATTCGTGAATTGCCGATTTATGTTTCTGACAATCGGGTATCCGGCCGCCAATTGCGAATCGTCTCAATTTGAGCGTCATCCACGCTCACGGAGAAGAGGACTCATCCTTGAGACTGATTGGCAACATGCTCCCTGGTCTAATTTAGACAATTCCCACCTCTTTGTTTTTCGCCCACGTCACGCGACGATGCCGGTTGCGCGCTCGCCCACATTAATTAGTCGGTCCTCGCTGAGCACCCGACTGTCGCAAAATCACGCTTAAATCGTTCAATATGAGCACGCGAACACGGATGGCAATCAATCGACTTTAGAGGCACTTTCTTGAAAGACTCTATTGAATGAAATAGATTTGTATTGGAATTCTCAAGTGTTCGATCATTCTTTAGATTCCTTCACGGAGGAGAAGATTGATTGAATGAACGCGACAATGACACAACTAAATACGTCTTGCTCGAAGGAAACAGAATTTTTTATTAAAAACCGAATTTGGTTCATAAGAACAGTAGCACAAGTAAATGCGTTTTGGTTGAGGAAAACAGAATTTGAATGAGATTCCGCTCTAAGAAATTTAGAGAGGCACTAAAAGCATTATTGAAGTATAACTAATCACTGAAAGCGTTGCTAAAAGTGTTATTGCAAAAGATTATTAATTGCAACCACGAGCCTGCGTAGTTCTTATTAGTCGTTCACGGAAAAAAAAGATCTGCTACATATGGACAACCAATATAATTTACTGTATACTAACATAATAAACTGTATTAGCCACTTTTTCTTTGCTGCAGAAGCCAATTTTCTTGCTATGATAACAATAAAATCTGTTCCTGCAACAAAAAGTAACTAAAGCAGTAAATTATGTTTAGTTGTCTATCTGTAACAAATTCGCTACGTTAACTACTTTTCTTGTTATAGGAGCAGACTTTCCTGTTATCATAACAAGAAAATAGGTTCCTGCTGCAAAGAAAAAGTAGCTAGCACAGCGAATTATATTTAACTGTCCATATGCAGCAAATTAGTTTGCTGCTGCAGCAAATTATTTTTTTCCGTTATTATAATATTTCTGGACTTTATTGGATTTGAAAAATATATGTTGTTATAATTATTATATGTTATTATTATTTGAAAAATACATATTATAGTCGTTATCACAGATCGTGATAATTACTATGGTTCATTGTAATTATTATCACTTTTAATCACACACATATAGTTTGATTCTTCGTATACTTTTCGTATACTTTTTTTATCATTTCTCATGTTCGTTTTCTTTGTGCGATATGCAATCGAAAGCATGAATCGTTTACCTGGAAATCGCGGTATTGACGCAGGTGTTATTATTAGCAATCCGTTAATTGGACTACCATGCATATTATTGGAATTTCATGATACATTTCGTCGTGCATAATTAACGTATGTATCGATTTGTTACAGACGCAATTGGGAAATCATCGCACCGCGAAAATGGGCTGTGTCTCGCAGTGTGCCAAGTATTTCCTCTGCTTGTTCAACTTCATTTTCTTCGTGAGTATACACAACGAGTTTCTATAGTGGTAACTTCAAGCGCGAAGGAGCCCGCCGTGTCTGCATTTCGCGCCGCTAAGATCACACGGCTGATAATTTATCAACCTCGCAACCAGTCGCAATCGCGTAAACGCACTTTGCTCGAATCCTTGCCTCGGGTAGTGTACGATGTTAATTATATGATTTTCATGGTGCTCCATTCTCGCGGGTTTTCAATTTCCGGACAAATTGTCAGATGCGGGGACAAGTTTCCTCCGTTTCCTCAATTTCTCCTCACAAAGATATCTCTTCTTCCATAAGACGCTACTGAATTTAAAAAATATGTATGTAATGTAAATGCGTATATTGAGAGAAGGAAAATATTTAAAAAATTGAAAAATATTTATTCAGTGATTACTGTGATAACATATTTACTTATTTATATATATAAAATAGAGTATCTGTTTGTATGTTGCCTGTTTATTTCTAAACTCTTCAACCGATTTAGACTAAATTTTACATAGTTGATCTTTAGGACTTCTTGCGGAAAATATAGGCTACCATGAAACTTGGACACTCCATCTACTTTCCTTAATTTCATTTTCTCAACACTTTGTGATAACCCAAACAACGCTGAGTAGTTTAAGCTAGTGCTAATAAAATATTCAAACAAGAAAGTCTTTTTTTTAGACTTTTCATAAAAGCAATTGTTTAGTCTATTTAATATCTATTTACATAAAAGAAATTAGATTTAAGTAAATGTGTCATTAGTGCCTACTGAATAAATATTTTTATCCCCTAAATATTTTTCTCTGACACATGATGTAAATATATCTTAGTAGAAGAATGTTACCAAATTTTGAAGGAAATTTCTGCTCACACACTCGCGACTGAATATAAATCTGAAAATTATGAAGAGAGATATCTCCCGCAACGAAATAAGTATTGAATTCAGAAGCCGTCAAGGAGAGAGGAAGGAGAGTTGACCTGAAGGAGGTTACGGGAGAAGAAACAGCTCGAGTAAAAAAATCTGACTTCGACTTACCAAAGTCTTTGCAATTAGTGGCGATCTCGAGATAATTCCGCTGAACGATTTCGTCAGCTGCATCACGCGCCGGCAGCGCCGGCACCGTGTTGTTGAGTCACTCGGTATCTTCGAGCGAATCGAAGGAATCGCAATGCGGTCGCCACGGAGCGAAGAGCGATCGCAGGTGAAACTTTTCGATCGCGTGAATTGCACGATGCCGGCGCTTCGCCACCGGGCAGAATACCGGGCTTGCTTCCTTGGAGCCAGCCTTGAAGTCCGCGATGCAGAACGGAGACGTACTACATTAAGTTTGTGCTTTGCAGATTGCCGGAGGTGCGGCGTTGACTGTCGGTATCTGGTTGTTCGCCGATAGGAGTTCCTTCACCAACCTGATCGGCAAGCTCGATCAGTACGACATCTTGGTGAGTTTTTGCCAGGAATACATTTAATGTAGAATACATCAAGAGAGAGACAGAGAGAGAGAGAGAGAGAGAGAGAGAGAGAGAGAGAGAGAGAGAGAGAAAGAAAGAGAGAGAAATGCTTGATCTAGCTATAAAATTACAAGGCCTGTTCATTTCCAAAGAACTTTTGAACTAGTATATACTGCAATAAAATAAAAAAGTTCTAGAGTGAAAGAATATACCTGCTTTACTCTAACTACTTGCACTGATATAGGAGTTCTTCGAAAACGAATAGACGTATAGTTATTTTTGGTCTCAATCGTACTTTTTGGTCGTCTTAACACGACAGTATCACAATATCCACATTAATAATTATCATAATAGAACTAACATCATAGTAGAATTTCATAGAGAAAAACGGCCTTCTTGGTCGTAATTAGTGATCATTTCTCCATACTTATTGTGAAATTATACTTACAAATATCAGACATTTTTTCTCAGTATATATACGACGCACGTGGAATCGTTCAAGGAACGCTCGAGCTGTCACGTGCGAGATCTCTAATCTTCCGTCAGCGTGGAAGTTACGTCCGCCGATGTCGCGTGCTGAGGTAGCCCTCGCAAAAGTAAACTGGAAGCGTGAAATCAGACGGAAATATAAAACAAACCCGCGATAATTGATGCCCGTAATAGCGCCCTCAGAACGGCGATTACATATTTCAGGTGGCTTTACGCTTGCCAGTTTTATCGCCGTTGCTCGTGCCTCGTGGCTTCACGTGCTGTCGCGTGGAAATGGAAAGATAAGGACACGTTTTAAGGACCAATAAAGATAAGCACGGATTCCAGATCTAGCATTGCATCGAGATATGTCTGAGGGGGAAAGAAGAAGAGAAAGAAAAAGAGAAAGAAAAAGAGGAAGAAAAAAATGGTTCTCGCATATCATTAATACAGTTGATCGTTTATGTAACTCTAAGTTTCTCTCGAGCCACCGCGGTAATTATTTCATAAATATGTTATGTAATTTCTTGTTACGACGGGCGCGACAACGTGATCGTCGGTCGGCTCAATTCAAACCGGATTCGACACTCACCAACGCCGATTCTCGTGACACTCGTGCGCGCCGAGTTGTCGATTAACAACAGAGTCGGGCAAAAATCATCAGGCGATTTCTCGTATTCTTCCTGATCGTGAGGTCTTCCGTCCGCAGCGAGAAGACACTGTCTTTATTAACGTGCGATAATAACGAACTTCTGCTTCGTACGAGCTAGCAATGAATCGTAAATACGTAGCGTGAGCAATGCGACGTATGTAAGCAACATGCCATCATACATATATCTTATCCGTACACGTCAGTGTCGCTACAGCGCACGTATTAATGTAATTTTCCCAGCCGATACATGTGTCGATGGATCGATATGTGAGACACGCGAAGCGTAGTCTTTCTGAATTCTCTATACTGTTTTGCTGTTACTTTTTTTATGAGAAAAAGGAAAAGGTCTGGGGCTTCGGAGTAACAGCAATCGCGAAAGAAGGCGAGAGACGTTCAATTAATCCTAGAACTTTAAACATAGGTAAAATTTATCCAAGCCAATTTTTCACGTTTTTAACATGTTGTTTTTTTTCATTATAACCTTTTACAACTTCATCGAATCAAATAAATAAAAAAGAAATCTAAATATAGCTTATAAAAAACCCACCCTGGAGGGAATCGCGCAGTTGTTTTACATCTCCGCGCTGAAGAGGTTAAAAGAAAAATAGCAAGTCTCTCCTCATTAAAATATCTACAGAAATACCAAGTCGGTTTTGTTCATTTTATCCATAAGAATTGATATAGTCCTCTTTACGCAAGTCTCATCTAGTCCAGCCGTTTGCAGTTACGAGTGAATTGTATGTCTTTTTTTTTATTTTTATTTTTTTAATTACTTTTAACGCAGGTAATTATCGGTGTCTCCGGTATCTTCGGGGAATCGAGAAGGGACGCGCGTGCGCAGCGTATCGTGCATATTATACGCTCGTCATGAGCCGTGTAAAGATACGGGATAATCTACGTTTAACGAGGTGCTTGACTCTATAAGCGGCGAGGAGAAGAGACGTAAAAAGAGAGCGACTCGCCTTAAAGAGCGGCGTGGTTAACAAGAACAATAGGGAATAGAGCGACTTCCTTCGAATAATTACTACTCCGAGACCTTTTCCTCCCTCGTGTGCGTCTCTAGTTGTCTTTTAGTGGCGCAATCACGCGCCTGTACATGCATAGAATAGCATATTGCCTCTTCCTATTCTTGCGCCGCCTTTACACACATGTTCAATGAGACCAAGCGGATTCTCCTCAATTTCACGAACAAATCGAAGTCGCAATCGTACTCGAGCACAAGTAGAATTGATTCGTTATCTACAATTTAAAATTGGATTTTCCAGATTTATCCTTAACTAACAAGAATATATAAATATATTCTTGGGAAATTATTTTACTTAATAATTCTGATAATTCTTAATTAGTGAGAATAAACATATAATTGTTTTTAATTCTTAACTTTTATTTCTAATTATTGCAACGGTGAGTCTACTTGTGTAAAAATAACGAATTGGTACAGTTGTAAAAATACAGAATTGGTTCTTTGTCTGCGACTGAATTTTCAAGTTGCATTCTTAACTTGTAAAAATTAAATTAACGATTTTACTTAATAATTCTGATAATTTTTAATAATTCTGATAATTCTTAACTTGTATTTTCAATTGTTGTAATAATTGCTCAACTTGAGCAAAAATAACGGGTGGAACGATCGTATATTCTTCTTGTTCGATATTAATGTTCTCGTTCTTAAAAATTTGTCGAGTTTATTTTGCATATCTTGCATATCTTGGCAAAAAAAGTAGCCAATATTAGTGTCAGAGATATTCAAACGAAAAAGAGAGAAAAGGAGGAAAGAAGGAAAAAACCTTTCCAGCAATTTCACATGCGGTAAGAAAGTGCTGCGCGCGTCGTCAATTAGTTAGGAGGTGACGTATCGTAACGGTCGCTTTCTAATACGAGTAGCACCGGTTGCGAGCCTGCTTATCACTCGACAATTAACATCTGTTCTGGTTTCACCTTATAATTATTATGAAACTCGAGTAACACGAAGCATCAGAAACGGGCTTCTTCGCTCCGCGGAGAAACACGTGACAGATCTCAGATCGATCTCGATCGCGCATGGGTATACTCTCCGACTGGAAGGCACGGAATAACGAGCTGCGCTGCGCTCCATTTATATATGCACCGCTTATTTCGCGAGGTAATTTAACTATCAAAGAATTGGCGACGATAGGCTCTCGGCAATAACTCGTATTCCGTTACCCGTATCTCTATTCTCACTCGGATTGATCGTACATTAAATTCTGCCCGTCCGTCATTGAGTTATCGTCGATCGGCGAGCGTTGATAGAAGAAGGAAGAACTGAAGATAACTTCGGATAAAGTCGAGAGGAATTTCTTTGATTTTCCATTTCCAGATCAAGAAAATGATGAAGGAAAAGAAAGATAAAGAGCTACGAAAGATAAAGGTAGAAATAGATATAAAGATTCACGGCTAATAAAAGAACATGATAAATATTTACTAATAAAAGAACATGATAAATATTTACTTATTTCATTTTTTCACATGGGACTTATCTTTTAGGTACAATGCACAAAATATAGATCATTACAAAAGAATAGAGAAACAACAAAGAGATAAATCAATATAAAGATATATATATATATATATATATATATATATATATATATATATATATATATATATAATGAAGATGAAATGAAATGTACTTTATCTAGATCTATAGAGAAGGATTTATACATAAATAAATAAAAAAAAATATATATATAAATTCACACACACAAATGATTAACAATAATAGCCTTGAAAAAATACAAAGACATTATATTGTAATAATATGATAAATTTAATATGAAATTTTAATTTACTGCAAAAGGACAAGTCGAAACTGGGTCAAACGTAGGTAAAAAAAGTCACGTCCACTTCTTGCCAGACATCTCTCTGTCAATCTGATGCTGTATCCGTGTGATGATTATCAACCCACGTTATCGCAATGAGCTTAATGAAATTTAACCTTCGAAGATAGAAAAATACGATCGTTCGGTCCGTTTTTTCCTTAGAGTTCATTCATCGTTACAATACGCTCTCTAAGATTTTGACCTTCCTCACAGAAAGTCTCACGTCGCGTCACTCACGATACGCTCGATCGTATAGATCGGACACGTATATTTATACTTGAACTCGGCGTCGTATATGCCATACCATCCCCTGGACGAGAGTTGCGCGATTTTCAGCCTCACACATACACGCGTAAGGTTAATAATCGCACAAGTAACTCTAGTTATGATGGTAGGATCATAATGGCTCTAGATATAATGGTTTTGACCTTATACATATATGTGTAAAGCTGAAAATCGTGCAACTCTCCATCTAGGGGATAGCATGACATACGTGACATTGACTGAACAATTGCTCGTCGTAGTATACGGAGAAAATATTGTTAAAACTACGTTACTAACTATGTTACTAAACTACGAACTACGTTAAAATTATATTTCTCTTTACAACGTCTTTCGTAAAATTGGACTGTACTGAAATAGTAATACAAATTACCATTATAATATATAAAGATATGTTAAATAGAGGGATATAATAAATATAATAAATAGAAATATAATAAATAGTAAATTTGATGAATTATCCGAATACAAGATATAAAAAATATTCAAATAATTACAATAGTTTTGTGGTAAAGAACGTCAAACGTGCATAACATTTTTAAGCAAATATACATATAATAATTTCGGTCATAATCATATATAGCTCAAGATCACAAAAATATTGTCGCAATTTTTATTACAAGATTTTTCTCGTATAGATTTTCCTCCATAGATTTTCCATATAAAGTAAAAGCACCAACCCGTGCCTAATCTTACACATTCTTATTGTTCAGGTTTTTGAATACGAATATTGAAACTTTTAACATAAAATATACATGTATTGAATATATGCATATCTCTGTGCGGAGTTTAAATATTCGTTTTTATAGTTGAGGATTCATATTTATTTAATCTCTTCAGTGATCAGGTGATTTAAAATAACTGGGCGATTCTCCTCTAGGGCGGGTTTTTATTTTTAAATATAAGCATGTCTAGATTTCTTTTTCTATTTATTGCTATTTTTCTTGAAGAATTCTGAAGAAATAAAACACGAAATATATCTAATTTGTATTTGCGCTGAATTTAAAATATACAATAGTTCAAATAAATCAAGAGGAATTTAATATTCGCCACGAGACTTTCCCGATTACACACACACCACACATTTAAAGTATAAAATATTCATATACATATTTGAAGAAGGAAAGGAAAAGGAAAATACAAATGTCTAGGATTAGATGCGTGTCTGGAAATCGGTATTTTTACGTTACACCGGCATTATGTTACGTTTCACGTTTCTCTCTTTCTCTCTTTCTCTCTCACTCACAGACTCGGGGGTTTTCGTGTTCCGTCTAATGGGAAAATAAATCGATCAAGACAAATCATCGAAGCAAGAACG